ATCTTCTTTCTGTTGACGTCACCAGCAACAGTAATCTCTACATTCAGCAGGCAGATTGGACATCGCAGCTTAACAGGTGCAGGTTTATCAGAAAGCCCTGCTGGCCAGTATCTGTAAAATGCGGAGTGCTTCACTGAAAAAAAATGTATCCCATACCGCTACCCCATACCGCTCAATACATTATTCTTATAGGATCTCTCAATAGGAGGAAAACTAGTAGACAGATCACCTGATGGTAATCGATCAGCTCCTCATGGACACTCACACACTAGAGGAGCCTTTTAAAAAGAAACGCTTTTTTCTTGAAGGTTTGACTCAGTCCAATATTTGCAACCGGGAAACCAACGAAGTGAATAAACGATATCACAAATCAAATTAAAATAGAATATCCCGCCCATAATATCACCGGAATTATTACAAAAATCTTGAAGCGTGACTTTTACTAAGCAATTCCCAACTTATTGAGATTTCTCCCAGTTTTCCTTGAGCTGTTTCTCAATTTTTTACTACTCAACGCTTTCCCCTTTTCTCAGATATTTTACCCTCCAGGGAAATTTCTGTTAGACATTATGAAAACCAATATATATACATTATATTTTACATTACACGCGAGAAAAGATTGCTACTGACGTAGTTTTTCTAGAATATTCTTTAAGATATTACTTACAACGTTTATATACCTCTAGCGTTGGAATCTAAATAAAGTGGCATCGTTTTAATTAAAATTGAGTTCGGAAAGTGAAGTGTACAAGTGTCTACTTACAGATTTCCTCGGTCACAAACATGATGGTAAACAGCTGTCGTAGCTAAGTTAAATATTCATAATCGTTGATCCTATAAAACTAAACACATGAATGCGAATTTTTTTGTTAACAACTTGATTTATCTTTCTATTATAATTTTTTGTGAGACATACTAAATTAATCATAATGTTTTCGGCTTACTAACTTAACTGTTTGACGAGGACCTCGACTAGTTTCCAGCCATACAAGAGCTATATTCACTTAACTTATCGTTAAGAATAAAAAATTAATCTCCATACATTTCCTACAATTCTAAAGAGATTGATTGTGATTTCGATACTGAGGTCAATATGTTATATACCTCTAGTATTTAATTTGTTTTATTTTAATGCATATTATACAAAAAGAAATGTTGACTGGGAGAAAATACCATTTGGCATTAAGTCCGCCTGTATGGACCTTATTTTTGTGTGCATTAAAGAGCTAAAAAAATGAATATGATTCTTTTATACAGGTATCGTTGAAAATATCGTAGGGGCATGAATTTAACTAATTAATATTTCGTGAACATAGAACACCGTTTTTGTTTGTGTGCGCTAGCGTAGGGGTAGCTCATCATAACAAAAGGGGAGAGAGGGTAGGCAGGGTGATAGGTAAATGTGTCGCCAACGAACAATGTCACAAAAGCACGGCTCCACCCTGCTTGCACACAATTGCTTTTTGGTTGACGTTACCTACGCCAATAAGATAACAAGAACTGTGTTCCTTGTAATGTTATCTACTAACATTTTGTCAGTGGTTTTATCCGAAAAATTTGTTCATAAATGTTAAATTAAGATTACAAGTTTTACAGTTATGTTATTGTCTGCCAATCAAGAGATATCGTGTTCGATTTTCGGATATGACAAAGTATTATTGGGCTTTTGTCAAGTTTTTGAAATGTCTTTAGTAATGATCTAAGATTGTGACTGGTACATTGCAATAGGCTGACGATGACGATGTGACTGATGAACATATGTGTGGATGATGCATTGCATACGTGTGTTTCCACACCATTCCGTTATGTTATATTAAGGTATATTGAATTAGATAAACGACCAAATTTAAATCAATCAAACTCAATTCAAACCTACCAACAAAATGCACTTCAGCCTTTTTTTATTAGTATAGATGAAAACCAAACAGTAACTATTGAACAATCAGTAGGACAAACAGAAGAAATATTACTTCAACTAGAGCTACTTGACCAGGCGATTTCTCAAAAGCAATCTTATGTACACTGAAGCTTATTAGTTGCCGTCCAAAGTAAATATCTTTAAAAAGGCTATAAGGATTTATTGGACGGGTCGAGCAAACATCTACTATATAAAACAAAGTAAATAAAAAACAAGATTCTTCATATATATGGAATTATGTTTGCACAGCGCTGTGGGCAGTTTTTCCTTTATCCGCCTTTGTATGTGGCCTATCTGATATATACGGCTTTGTTCGGCCAATAAAAGTATCTTATGTATATTAAACTCTATTATCCATCGTCGTCAACATCACTTAGCACTAGGCGGGATGGTGGCCAAACGCCGTTATATTAAATGTTTAAAAAATCTATTCCTTTAACTAAAATTAATCAAAGTCCATCGTCGTCATCACGTCCCTGAGGGCACGGCGGTGCTCAACCCACTCAGGGCATGCCCCTACAGTGTGTTCCACCGTGCTCTTTTTCTTTCTTTATTTTGCAAATGGGTTACAGTTAATCAATAGTTAATCATATTTTACTGAAATCAAATTTAAATAATTTTAGTGAAAAAAGAATTAACCTCAATAATATTTTCTTAGCATTCGCTTGAACTTAAAACAACAAAAGACCTCAAAAAGACCAAAACAATGTGTATAGTCCAATTAATTGGGACCTTTTGTAATAACACTCGACATGATTACTAAACAAAGGGAAGGTCCCACGCCCTCTTCAGCGAACCTCGATAACATCTGCGAAACGACCTTTTAATACATCTCATATCGCACTTTTATGAAGGGAACACTTTTGATGACCTTTTATTATTTGCTTTAGGTACATTATGCCTCGTTGGCCGAATGGTTGCAAGTGCGACTGTTGGGCTAGGGGTGTCGGGTTTGATTCCCGGGTCGGGCAAGATATTACTGGGTTTTTAAAAATTCTCAGTAGTAGAGTCTGAAATCGTGCCCAGTATATGACAAAAGGCTCATAACCTAGTACATGGGGCTGATAAAATAAATAGTGAAAAATGGGTACAGTGCAATAAGTCCCGTAATGTGCACCTCTCCCTACCCCTTCGGGGATAAATGACGTGATGTTATGTTATGGGTACATTATGTGATTGGATTTATCGCTGGAGTAGGCAAAAGTATTGTAATTTTCTGTTATAATATACTTAAAGTCAATTTCGTGTCTTTCAGTTGGGAGAGAGGAATTGATAACATTGGAATGAGCAAATAGCTTCACTTTCAAATTTTTATTGTTGACGTTTAAAAGTGCTTTCCTGGTCTAATTGAAATAAATTATTTTGACTTTGACTTTGACTTTGGAGAACATCTAGGTTTCAACCAGTTACTTTGTGAAATCTTGCTCTACCTCTAAAAGATTATTATGATGATCAATACGAGCTTCTGCAAGCGACTTTGCCCGCTTTCCCATTGGATGAAAAGTAGCCTATGAGTCATTCGAGACTATAAGTGTGTGTGTGTCTTCAAGGCCCAACTGAATAGGTTGATTATGGGCCGACATGCTCCATCGTAGACCGCATCATCGCTTACCACCAGGCGAAATAGTGGTCAAATGTCGGCCTACCAAGTATAAAAAAAAAATCCAGATCTGTGTCTAATTTCATCAGAATTCAGCGCTTTGACGTGTTTGATTAACAAAAATATACTAACTTTCGCACTTATAATATTTATAAGATTAATTTTAGTATCCTGTTTTATGATTATAATGATGACTTAGGAAACAGTGAGCACCTAAAGTTCCCTAAAATCGGAAAAGGAGGATCCTCCGACCAAGCGAGGCGATCGTGCCTGGCGGGCTTTCTGCCCCACAGTTGTTTTATAGGATTTTCCTTCAGTGTTAATACGCATGTAAACTTCACATGTGCGATGTAGGATTTTATGACGTCCGTTGATTTGTTTCATCGAAAGTCTATGTGTGTGAACTGTCATGCTGTCATTTGACATGTGTCGCCACAATGATAATAAAATAGCTACTGTTGGTTGATGATTAAAATAAAACAAAGAATGCATCTAATAATATGAAAATCTTTATTTAGGACGAAGTTTCCACATTAGAAGACCGTGGTATATACAGCACTACGGCGGGGTTTCATTTCAATAAACATCTTTAACACTGCAATAACTGTATAAATTATCATAATTTCTATAAAACATGAATAAAATTTATAAAAGCCAGTGAAATAAAAACAATTCCAGTGGAGCTAAACATTTTAATAAAAGCCTGTTAATAATTCTTAGCGACGACCACAAAATAAGCCGTAATTTACATAAAACCGCGAATAAATATTTCATTAATAAATTAAACGTAGAATGTTTAACATCTCTGTATTTATTTATTTAGGAACATAAAGATTTTTAAAAGGTATATTTAGGACATATTCGTATTTAAACCATGATTTAATCTTCAAGTGATAAACTAGTTTAGTATTCTTTTGTTTTATCACAGCTATTTATTTGTACAAATAAAAATAAATCGCCAAAATATATGGATACGCATAGCCCCTAACCGACTGCACCAAATCGAATTAATTTTTTTACGTAGGTATTAGAATAATGTATGCCGAAAATAAAATCACCAACGGCACAAAAATTATCAATGTTAACAAGAATATCATAAAATAATCAAGTTCACAACAAGAACATAATTATCACAATAAGTTTGTCATATTCTTAATACCTTTAAAATAATATTGTTTCAACTTTGATATTCAAATGTACAATTATCATGGTTCTGAATAATCACAGCTGACTAACAACTTTAAATTGTCCATAGTCCTTTTATTCTCGTGTCTTTGTGCTCTAATTTGGTATATTTTTATTCAGAGCTGTATTATTCCAAAGGCAAACTAGACAGGGGCCTAAGGCGCCAGATACAGCAAGGCGCCGCGACAAAATTAATTTTCTTCAGCACGTTTACTAACCAATTTAAAGAAAAATAAACAGAACGTCTTGTTTATCCCCTTCACTGCCCATATATTTAGGTTGACATTAAAGGTCAAATCAATCAAAACCAATCATATCTGCATGCAGAATTTATAGGCCAATGTTATAGATGACATATATTGATGTTTCCGACAACTTTTATACGAAACTTATCACACGCTTAAGATAGATCACAAAAGTATCTGAATGAAATTTTTTTATCACTGTGCAATAAAAAGGCCAAGCTTTACTGTATATTTACCAATAAGAGCGTACTAAGCGTGGTCTTCTTAATTAAAATAAAGAAAGGTGTATCAGTTTTGTGCGCTTCAAAACGTTACAATATTACGTCTCTTCAAATCAACGAAGGACCGAGTATACTTCCCTGAAGAACTCTAAATGTTTCATTCAGTTGCTTTTTGTATACATTTTATCAATTTATCTGTTGGTGTAAGCCCCACATTAGCTTACATCCTTGCCTATCGTCGTACTTCTTTTTTAAATAGTTGATAATCTTCACGTACTTTACCGTGTTCGTAACTTCATCTCTTTTGCGATGTTTCTTCGATCTTGGCACTGCTGCGTGAGAAAGAAATCCCCCATCTAGAATCACCAGCCGGTATTGTTGTAGACACATCTCCAACATCTGAATTGCAAAAACATTCACAATTAAGTATTTAGATACCAAAATCAAAACAACAGTTAAGTTTGATTTTGAGTTATAATTATGGCATTTTATTCTTAATTTTAGTAATTCTAATCTATTCTTTCCCCATACTAAAAATACATAACCTTGTTATGTGTGATCGTTAACACGAATAAAAAAAAAACAAATGCACAATGCTTCACATGCACAAAGAATGTAAAAGAAAAAAGATTCTTACACTTTTGCCGACCCAGATATCAATATTAAAACCTTGCTTAAAGTAACTAAACTACACCAAGCAAGAAAAGTTTAAACTCAAAATTACGAAGGGCTTATACACGTCTTTTTTTACTTAACCAAAAAGGGTCCTAACGCTTTAATGAAAAATCGTTGGGAGACCTTTCAAAAATCCATTAAGGGATGCTTTGGAGTCTCTAAAGTGTTACGTTACCTGCGTCATTTTGTCCTGAAAACCTTCCCAACACAGAGACTCGCTGTACCAAGGCTCTTTATTAGTACCAAAGTAAAGAGGCTCCCATCTATGGTATGGATACTCCCTCTTTGCTATTAGCATTGGCTGGAACAATAATTTTTGGTTAAAACTTATTTATTTACGCATCAACAAAACGGTAATTTAATTGTTTAGTCATATTTCCTAAATATTAATTAAAAAATTAACTTCTTTCTTCATATAAACGTTCATCGCCTCACATATTGCTATTATACAACAAACCATAAAAATAACTATCACACAGTTAACAAGACCGTAACTGCACATCGCCCCAAGTTCAGAACTACTTTAAACACGGTCCCAATACCAGCCACAAGTTCAAATTAGGACCTGCCCAGTTATAGCTGGCTGTTAGCGTTCTAATACGGTAAAGTGGCTCGGCTAGGATGCGGAGCTCTCGATAATTAGTTGGCAATTAGTAGGGGGGCGAGCCATGAGACGGGTGAAGGCGAAAATTGGGAGGGGCGGGGGGTAAATGTGTTAGAACTATGGCTGTTACTTGACAAGATTGTACCGTGATTGGGAACGGTAAATTAGTAGCAATCTCATTGGTACGAATTGGAATTTGATTGAGCGATGACTGTGGTCTGACAGCGTCTGTGGGATTTGAATTGAGATTCGACGCGGCATGTGTTGATTGACGTCCGGAGTGGGACTGGATGGAATTCTATGATGACTAAGATGTGGATTAGATTATTGAGATGCATAGAATATGGACTGGATTGTTGTTGGAGAGTTGAAAGTGCAACTATCAAATAGAACAAGATCTCCATCTTGTTGATTAGCTTGAGTAAGTTCATGTATAATTGGAATTTATTGATTTTGATATTTGAATTGGAACTTTATTTAGAACTGAGCTCTCTAGCCTATAGAAAAGTTCTCTAGAACAAAAGGTCAAAAATATGTGTTTTATATAATGTTATTTGTACACAGTACTGGATGATATTTTGACGAATGATCCATATAATAAGCTTCTAAAATCATTTGGACCATTGAAACTTCCCAGAAATTTCAGTGAGTTCCTTTCAACATAAAGGACATAGCTCTCAATATTCCATTTATCAAAGTCAGTTGCCAAGCACGTGAATATCTTTAAGAACAAATAAGTGTCCATTATGGGACAAGCGGAGGGTTCGTCAGACCTCCGACCCTGGGGGTGACACTTCTGTTTGATATATTTTCCATTTATGGAAAACATATTTCCTTTTGTCACACCTATTTCTCGAAATAATATAATAACACTCAAAACTATGTTATTCTAATTTTTAATTAGTTTTCGATATAAATTCATTTACGAATTCCTTAAATACTCATATATAAAATGGATGCTTTTAATTTGACAGCCAAAAGTAATTTGTTATATAACTTTTGATTAAAAAAACTAGTCACACGCACATGTGACTAAAGAAATTCAGATTATTCTAAACCTATTACAGAAACATCTCAAACCACATTAACAGAATTACAACCGCATTTTAAAGGTTATAATTTCCAAGTTACCATGTAAAATTAATATACAAAAATTCTCCGCAAAAAACACCTACGTAAGTACTTTCTTAGGTAACCAACCCAATATGTATTTATCCATCATTCAAATGTAACGCGCGAAAGCAAATATGTTTCTGTCTACTTAATGTGTATAAGAATCCATCAATGCCAGGTAAATAGATTTTGACAGGGTATTACATTTTCTCCCACATTTGAGAGAGAATTGAGGGAGAATTGTGCCCAGTATATTGCCATAGGCTCACTCATAACATAAATAGTGAAAAGTGGGTGTTACATTGTACAGTAGCATTAAGTCCCGTAATATACATCTCTGACTACCTCTTCGGTGATAAAAGGCGTGATGTTATGTTATGTTATTACATTATCTGAGTTATATGTATGTAGGTACTTTCTAAAATTATTTAGACCCCACTGACAAACGGTGAAGGAAAACATCGTGAGGAAACCTCGTGTTTAATAATTTCTTATCTATACTTATAATAAATCTGTAGAGAGGTCAATTCTGTACATAAAATATATTTAAAAAATAACTATCAAGGGGTGATTAGGGATCGGTACTGATGCCAAAAATGCAATCAGTAAAATTTTTGTCTGTCTGTCTGTCTGTCTGTATGTTCGTTATGGAAACAAAAACTACTCGATGGATTTTAACGAAATTTGGCACAATTATTCTTCATATTCTTGAGCAGGTTATAGTATACTTTTCATTACGCTACGATCAATAGGAGCAGAGCAGTGAAGGGAAATATTGGGAAAACGGGAGAAGTTACTCCATTTTTTAAGCTTCCGTCGCGTGTGCAGGCTTATAGGTTAAAGCTGCATAGAAATCATGACTGACGGAAATATTCTCCTTAAAATTATATAAAAAATATTCCTCGACAGCATATGCCTATCTTTTATGGTTGACTCACAATAACACGTGAAACTTCCGATAGCTTAGCAATTCGGTGATTTCTGATTGTATTTGTCTACTCCAACGTTTACAATACTCATTTATAGACTTTACGCTGTATCTGAAAGGCCAATGGTTGAAATTAGCTTGACTCGATATTATAAATGAAAATATGTGAGTTTATGTGTATGTATGTTACTCAGTCATATTAAACCGACTGAAGGGACCGGAATGAAATTCGGAACAGAGGTAGATTATGGTCTGAAGTGATACATAGGTATTTTACCCCTGGGATCGCGGGCGAAGCCGCTGGCAGAAGCTAGTTACCTCTATAAGTTTGAAATTGCCAACCCGCATTGTGCAAGCGTATTGATTAATGCTACCTTCTCCGTGCGTGAAAAGGCTTTTGGTCAGCAGTGGCCACTTATAGGCTGTTGATGGTGATATGCTAGCTAAGGAGAAGGCGGGGCGCATGAGGCAACGAAGCCTTGCCTCCTCACGACCCAGCCGTCGCGAAGAACACTCCGGGCGTCGACGATCGCGGGACGACCTCCGGCCACCGTAAGCACGGGCCTGCGGACCGCCGCCCGTCCAGAACCAGACCCGAGCGTACGCCGCGGCGCGCCGCGTCGAGTTTCGCGCGCGCCTCAAAGAGCCATAAGACCACCACGGATGGGGCCCAATAGGATTGAAGCCGATACGTAGCCGCGGAGGACTTAACAGATTGCCGGGACTCCGGCTCAAAGTGCAAGAATAGTAAGGGGTTGGTTTTCAGCCAATAAAAGTCTGACATTCCCTCCCGCCTTACCCAGGCGGGAGTAGTCATTCGATGATTTTCCCCCCTTAAAAAAAACCCAGGTGGGACAAGTCATTCGATACTTTTCCCCCCTTAAAAAAAGGCTGTTGATGTGATTTAATAATATATTTTCTGCAAAACCTACATATCTTGATATTTCGAACCTCAAATATTTATAGACCTTATGATCTTCACGATTAGTTTGCATTTCATTAAACCGTCAGATGATCCTTATAACTTGGGCGATGGCATGAACTTAATTGATTGAATTCTGTAAGTTAGAACACTAATCGCTGAAGCCGTTACTAAACAACTATATAGTGTTAGTCCAAGACGTCGTTCGTGTTTCAAATTCTGAGCCTCTATTCATAAAGAGATTCTATTTACATAAGAAGTAATCGCTCGTGGTACAGAATAAGTTACAAAGAGAAGTTTCACCAGTTCCAAAAAAAAATTAGGACTATTAAGAAAATCAGGTTCTTCAATAAAGAAGTTAGGTAAACGATTATCGTGGTTTTGGTAACAACACTCGAGTGACACCTGATATATTACTGATATTATGCTTCGCTTACTGCTTCTCCAGGTAATACGTATATTTAAACACCTCACGATTGTAAAATGTATTATAACATAACATAACGCCTTTTATCCCCGAAGATTTAGACAAGGGTGCACATTACGGCACTTAATGCCACTATACAATCTAACACCTATTTTTCACTATTTAAGTTATGAGTCGCATGTAATAGGGGGTGAACCTATTGCCATATACCGGGCACAATTCCAGACTCCGTGCTACTATTGAGAATTTTTTAAAAACCCAAGAATGCTACGCAGACCCGGTAATTGAACCCGAGACCCCTTGCCCGGCAGTCGCACTTGCGACCAGTCGGCCAATGAAGCCAATGAGTAAAATGTATTATACATATTTGAATTTCATTAAGCGATATTTGAGAAGATAGATAATGTCAATCCGATACGTTTCGATTACCGATAGATAACGAGTATGAATATTGTAATCCACTTGTCTAGTCACACCATTTTGGACTCTAATCAATATTAATATAAACAACAAAATTGTTATTCTCTGAAGGGGTTGGCAGAACTGTACTTAAAGTATACCCATTATTATATTATTAGTAACATTGTGAGCTATTATTGATAAAGCCTAAACCACTAACAAGATTAACAGCGATTAATTCTGAGTAACATTTAATTTCAAACAAACGTAAATAACACTATATTGGTAGAATTAATTGTGTTAATTCAATACTATTGATATTGCCTTCAACAGTTATTAGTACTTTATTGAGATTTGAACAAATTATTATCGGAGGCTCAAATACCCCCCTCTCCAGTCTCCTCAATCCCCGAATTTCCCAAAATCCTCCAATTTCCAAAAGGCCGGTAACGGACTAGTAACGCCTCTGGTGTTTCAGGTGTACTTGGATGGCGCCGATTGCTTACCATCAGGTGATCCGCCTACTCGTTAACCGGCCTATCGCATAAAGAAAAATACAGTTATAATAAAATTATTTTTTACCTCCAGAACTTCACGTGCAGGTCTTAGCAACCAGGTCTGTAGCCCTGGAAACCGCTGGCAGTGTGGGCACACATGCTGGTGGAAGTACGAAGCGCGGTTCGCAGTTATCAGTTGAATCAGCCTGGTTGGAATATAAAAATATGGTCTAAAACTTTCATCATCAACAGCCTATAAATGCCCACTGCTGAGCAAAGCCTCTTCTCACACGGAGAAGGTTAGAGCATTAATCACCACGCTAGCTCAATTCGGGTTGGCGATTTCAAACTTATAATTAGAAATTATAAGTTCAGGTTTCCTCACGATGTTTTTCCTTCACCGTTTGTCAGTGGTGTCAAAATAATCTTAGAAAGTACATATAACTCGGAAAAAGTCACATTGGTACTTGCCGTTGGTAGGTTTCGAACCCGCACCTTCATGCATGAGAAGTGGGCGTCTTAAACCTCCGGGCCACCACGACGGTAAAACTATATGTTCCACTTATTAACCCCCGAAAGAGGTCATAAGGTACACATTATCCTATCATGTTATCCTACTAATATGCTAAATGGTTTGTGACTCCTCACGTCAAAATGCCTGAAGAGACCGGGATGAAATTTTGAACAGAGGTAGATAATGGTAAAGAATAACATATAGGGTATAGGGTACTTTTTATCGCACGGGAACAAGAAGCCGCTGGCAAAACCTAGATATAGTCTTATAATTATAGTAACAAAAATCAATATTTCTTGTTATTGAAGACAATTTCGTTGACAGAAAATCTTATAGAAATATATAAAATAGATTTATACAAAGTGTGGGAGAGCCCTGCTTCGGCACGAATGGGCCGGCTCGACCGGAGTGATACCACAGCCTCACAGAAAACCGATGTGAAGCAACGCTTGCGTTGTGTTTCGTCGTGTGAGTGAGCTTACCGGAGGTCCAATTACCCTCCCCTTCCCCAATCTCCCCAATTCCTTAATCCCCCCGATCCTAAAACTCCTAATCCCCAAATGGCCGGTAACGCACTTGTAACGCCTCTGGAGTTCCAAGTCCCATGGGCGACGCCGATTGCTTTCCATCAAGTGATCCGTCTGCTCTTTTACCGCATATGCCATAACAAAAAAAGATACTTTCTCCGATTAAAGAATCACATCCAATTTCACACAAAAGTCACTTTTCGTAAACACTACATTATTGATGCACATTCAATCATTACGATCTTTAAATAAGTACCTCTAAATAGAAGAAAACGTGATAAAATTGAAACAGCATAAAAATATTAATGTTTATATATGAAGATCGTTTTACAACTGCATACACGAACACATCTGTCGTACAATAAAATTGGAATAAAGAAAACAGAGTATAGATGGCACGTTTGTACCATAAAACGTACGAAGACTCACTCAGGTAATAATAAACTCAATTTTATTAGTCATAGGAAACAATTTGGTCCAATGGCCTGTATTTCCCTTGCCATTTCTTGTTGTTATGAAAAACAAACTTGAATTTGTCGTCATCGAAAATTTATGATTGAAATTTTCCATTAATTTGACACTTAATTGACTGCACGGTCGGTGTGGTGGCTGGGAAACCCGGATGCTGTGCAACGTGTCGCGGGTTCGATTCCCGCACGGAACAACACTTTGTGTGATCCACAAATTTTTGTTTCGGGTCTGGGTGTCATATGTATGTAAACTTGTATGTTTGTAAACGCACCCACGACACAGGAGAAAATCCTAGAGTGGGGCAACGTTATTAAAAAAAAATTAAATTATGTACAACGGTTGTGGTGGCCCGGAGCTTTAAGATGCCCGCTTCTCATGCATGAAGTAGGTCATACACGCTAGGTGTTACATGATGGTTTTAGCCGTGCATGCATAACTGACAGACAAGCCCTAGCGTGTATATGATTAAACTGTACAGTTATCGGTGCATCGGTGCTCGGTTATGCCTGTCGGTTTTGCATTCACAGTTATAACCATCATCCAAACTCTGGCGTGTATGGCCTTAGAGTGTGGGTTCGAAACCTACCAACAGCAAGGACTAATGTGACTTTTTCCGAGTTATATGTACTTTCTAAGATTATTTAGATACGACTGACAAACGTTGAAATCGCCAACCCGCATTCAGCAAGCGTAGTGATTAATGCTCAAACCTTCTCCGTGTGAGAAGAGGCCTTTGGTCAACGGTTGCCTTACAGGCTGTTGATGATGATGATGTACAACGGTTTAGTAAAGTAAGTGTTTAGCGAAGTATCTCGACTATCGTATCGTATTGTAACTAAATTAAATTGTGCTTAATGTCAGTATTCAAATAAAAGGTCTGATATCATTGTACATACTATTCGAAATATATTTAGGCCTAGCTATCGCAATGGAGAAACCTGTCATGATAGTTTAGGTAAGGTTTTATATAAATAAATAAATAAATAAATATTCAGATCACATATCATTTAGTTCATATATCAGACATTTCCTCACAATATCGTTGTACACAGATCTCATAATTCTTTATCTCTTAAGTTGTACGTGATCGGACTTTAGCTATTGGACTTTCCCTTTATGAGTGTTTAAAGCAACACTAACGATGTATAGAAAACAGAACATAAATATTCTTTGGTATTATTATTAGCTACTAGCTGTTGGCGGCGACTTTATCCATGTAGAATATGAGTTTTAGGACATAACTTTTGTTTGTTTCAATTTTCCAAAATAAAAATAGCCTATGTTATTTCTTAGTACACCGGCCAGTAAAAGTCAGTCAGTAAAAGATTGCCAGCAGAAACAGACAGAGAGACAGACAAAATAAAAAAAATGATATTTTGGTATAGGTATCGTGTGTATATTCATATGCATGTAGTAAATAGCGGTTATTTCGAAATTACAAACAGACACTCCAATTTGTATTGTAACTTTCGTGACACATACTAAATAAATTATTATGTTTTCGGCTTACTCACGTAGTAATTTGACGAGGAACTCGACTAGTTTCAAGCCATGCTAGATGCTCATATTCATGAGCAGCATTTCGCGACCCGCGGCGCGGCGACTGTCGCGCTGCTACTGTACTTTTAGACACTCCAATTTTATTTATCTATGTGTCTGTCGTGAATCTCCATATTGTAAACAGTGACATTTGAACAAAAAATTCCTACCTACGATTTCAAAACGTAGAAGTATATCTACATTTGCTTATTCCAAAATATTCCAACCGTTAAACGACTATAAGCGGATAATATACACAGAGAACATAAAAGATAATATCATAAGGACAAACCAAGGACGCAAGCAAATATGTGTGTTAAAACATACGATATACTTCCAAAGCAAATGTAACAAAAGTATAAAGCAAGTACCTGCATTTTATCTGTGAGACACTTGCACAATGGAACGTGGATTAACGAATACCTAACGTACACTGAACTGAAATGGAGTACATAACTCGAGCTCTTACAAAACTACTCAAAGGATGAAAGTTCAAAGTATTCAGTGACAAGAAAAGAGCGACCTTCTTGCGACAAAGACCACAACAATAGCAACAAAAGGTACACAAGCACTAAGTACGCTTTCTGCATTTCTTTGTGTGCCGCGCTAAAACACTATTTATCAACTTACGTTTTTTTGTTGCGAGGTATCAACTCTCCTCTCTCCACTTCGAACAGCGGCACCACAAATACTGTCTTCAAAAACACACAACCAGAATCTCTCTTTTGATTACCCATCAACTTTCTAACCATTTTCAAGAATTTCGGCGCCAAACCATTACTTGGCACCATTTCTATATCTGACACTAAGAAATAATTGGTCATTGATGCATTTCTCGCAACATTTCTGCCGACATTAATTGGATACGTCATTAATGTATTTTTTCTGTATGTTCGAACTTTTTCTGCGCCTGCACCTGAACAGTCCTCGAATTGTATGTGAGGCGGTAGGAGTTCTTTTCCTGGAATCCTCATCATCATGCGTTCAATTTTCTTTCTCCTCGCTCTCTGAATGTATTGTGCTCTATTTTTGTTATTCAAGTTGCGATAATTATGCAATTTCTGTTTCAACAGGTCTGAAGTATTCAAATTAGATGATTCAAATGTCGGCGATGGTATAGTGGTTAAAGCCATCTGTATTTCTTGCAACGTTCTCAACCTTGGTAGTATTCGTTTTGGGAAAAATAAATGAACCGAAACTTTTGCCATTTTCGGATAGCAGTGGCATAGATGGTTCAATATCTGCATAGTAATATCTAAGTCATAGTTAGGTACGAACACGGCGAGGCTAATGGGACCATCCCAAAACTTCGCTATTTCCACGATATGGTACAAGAATTCAGGCGTCGCTTGAGTAACATACGTCACTGCGTCAACTTTGCTGACATTCATATACACGATACTTTGAATGGCATTATATATGACTCCATACTCACTCCTACTTCCAGTTTCTGGGGACGGAAGTACTGAGATTTTACTCCATATAAGACTACGAGGAAGGCCATAGTTAAAGAGACAGTAACTTATGTTTCCGGGCTGTTTACCTCGTAAGAAGCCGCCTGGACTATAGTTAAAGTCACCGACACTGGGAGGTGGGGGCGGGTGCTCGTGGTGCCTGTATGCGTACAACTGCAGGATTATAGTAACACTGAGTATGAAGAAAACTCCAAGAAATATTGTCGAGTGTTTCCTTGTCAACCTGAAGGAGTAGGCTCCAAATATCCGCAGGCATCTCGACATGTTTATCTATCATTGTTTTTAGTTAGAATGTACTCCTATTAATCATGTTTCTACCTGGTATCACTATTCACCGCACTAAGCACAAAAATACAATGTTTCATACAATTTCATCGCATGTTATGAACGAAGAATTTTTGTAAACAACACAAAAGACAATGACATGAGATTACAAGGACTGCGGCAAACTTCCAAACTCAAGGGAGTCTGTATAGAACTTCAAGACATGCTGGAATTCCGACGATTCAAAAGTAACACTGTATTAGTATTTATAAGCTCATGGAATTTGTCGTATTTGTCAAAATTGATGTTATTTTCACATGAAATTGGCGATTACTTCAGCAGTAGGTAACGTCAGTTTGACAGTTGGTGCGCGCGCCGGTCACTGACAGTGTGCGCAATGGGGAAATCAATATTCCCGCCACACTGGTACAAATGCGTTCTCTATTGCCGAAATAATATTTTTTTGTATTTTCGAAACACAGAATCATAATAAAATTCTAGAAAAAAAAGGCCAAGAAGCTTTCAGTTTTTTACGAAATGTTTTTAGTATTTTTGTATTCTAAATGTTGTGTCTTATATTATTTATAGAAACAAATGGAATGTCAGAGAATTGACTGGTTTTCTTCGTTTCCTATACAAATGTTTGCTCGTTATTTCCTCATGTCGCCCTTACCAGTTGTCGTATTCAAATCAATATGCTCGTTTGCATATTCTATTTTTAGACTGTCGTGACAGGATCTTTAACATACATTCGTGCTTTTACATATGAACATAATAATTATGTGGTGTATTCTATATAGGAAAGCGGATTAAATATGTATATCAATGTATGTTTGACGGTATAAACGTACGGTTAATCATAATTTAAAATAAAATAAGATGCGGGAATCGAACCAGTGATATGTTACGCGACAGCCAGTTGCCCAGTCACCACACCACCGTGCAGTACAATTTTATTTCTTACTTTTATGAGAATATAACTTTATTTTGACCATCACCTGTCGGCGTTTTAGAGCGTTCCATTTACAAAGTCAAATTCAAAGTCAAAATCGTTTATTTCATTTAGACCAGAAAGGCTCTTTTGAACGTCAATGAAAAAAAATTAAAATTGAAGCTATTTGCTCATTCCAAGGTGTAGAATATACTTATCTACTATATAAAAATAAGTCGGGTTTTCCTTCCTGACGCTATAACTCCAGAACGCACGAACCGATTTCCACGGTTTTTCATTCCTTGGAAACGTCTCGGGCTCCGTGAGGTTTATATAGCAAATTCACTTTTAATCACCAAAAGAAATGTTACATAAAACGAAGCCATCTGGCGAAACGAAGTTCGCCGGATTTGCTAGTTTTGTATAAAAAGGTTTTCATAATTACCACGCTTGTTAGGCAGGTTGAAGATCGTAGCTTGAAATGTTCAGGTCAATCAGAGGGCACTGCTATCTAGTCTCTGTCAAATGGTCGTCTAGTTAGTTTATGATACCCGCGGAAAGAGTAAAGGTGATGACTAGTTTAGTCTAGCACACGGCCAAGTTCGGTTCAGTTTAGTCCAGAGAAAGTTCTAGAAATTGTTATGGCGGCTCCGGCTACCGATCTGAGTGACAGACCACATGACGTGAACTCAATTTAACTTTGTTTCTTCCATGTTCACGGGGTATGTTAATATGGACACGGCTTTATGAATACATTACAAAACTTTGATATGCTAAGGTAGAACTTTGAATCAGAAATCTGTTTTAGTTTGATATCTGTTTCTTACAGATTTGTTGGGTTAGTGGTCGCTAATGCAACTGTTGATTATAAGACTCTAAAGTCGATTTTAATAGCGTTTTTTGGATAAGTAAACGTTAGGTAAACGGTAGTAAGTTCGCCCTCTAATACAAACCCACATAGAAATTAATACCTTTATCCAAAACTGACTACGATAACAAAGATCTAATTGCCCAATTCTTAAAAAACCACATGTAACTTTTTATTTATTTTTATTATTTTATAGCCTAAGCCGGTTAAAGAGCAGACGGATTACCTGATGGTAATCAATCGGCGCCGCCCATGGACACCCGAAACACCAAGGCGTTACAAGTACGTTACCGGCCTTTTGGGAATTGGAAATTTGAGGATTGTGGAGGATTCGGGGGATTCGGGAGACGGGGACTAGGGAAGGGGGTAATTGGGCCTCCGGTAACCTCACTCATACGACGAAACACAACGCAAGCGTTGTTTCAAGTCGGTTTTCTGTGAGGCCGTGGTATCACTCCGGTCGAGCCGACCCATTCGTATCGAAGCATGGCTCTCCCACACTTTTATCTTTGAATAGTAACAATTAATTATTATACATGTACAGGTCATAACACTATTTAGTGGTATATCCACACTAATATTTCGTTCTCACTAGTGGCTATTCGATAGCTAAAATACGTATTCGATACGCTTTTTCTCAAGCTCGAAATGATTACCCTACTTATTTGAACCTTATTGCCTGTATAACTTCCTAAAGTACTTTCTTTGATTAGTTATTAAGCTTCCAATACCATTTTGAAGATATGAATAAAAAAACTAGACGTCATAATGTATCCAATAACTCTTATAGCGTTCCATATATAATTACAATATTACATTATGTTATTACCCACAGGTAGACGTTAATTAACACAATTCCGACCTTTAAATCAGTTACATGGTTATTGACTTGATTGATATATAAAAGAATAAAATTTGAAAGAATTCTAAACTTTACAGAATGAATAAAAATGTCTAAATCTACTACCGAAAATACATTTACCAAACCCCGATATCCACCCTTCGACACCAATAAAGTCGAAATTTACAAACGCTAAAAGAAGCATTCTTCTCTTTAAAAACAAAAAGAACAGCCCAGCAATAGATTTTAATTATACCCTCGAACAAAGATCGCAAAATTGGGCGTAAGTACACCGTGTAATTGCATTCAACTTTTAATGAGAAGTTACGTGTTTGGGAACTGGAAACACGCCACGAGTATTTGGAACTAATTTTGCTAAAGCCTCAGTCGAATCCAAGAAAACATGAAGAACACACAGGGAGATAAATTCAATGAGAACATTTTTGTTAAACCTTTATATAGAAAATTGAGGAATAGTAACAAAATTAAACCAAATAAAGTTACAATTGATCGCAGTCTGAATCTAGATGGTCATGGAATTTGTGTCAAAAGAAAAGTAATGAATGTTACAAATGGTGTGTCGTTTAGAAGGAAATATCTCAATAGCGTACATAGAGTTGCTAGTGGATGGAGTGAAGATAAAAATAGATTCTTTGATACAAAAGTGTGTGATGGTTTTAGTGGTTCCCGTAATATGTTAAGTGCTGTAGAAAATAGGAAGCCTAAAAGTGAGGTCAAAGGTGTTGAAGATAGAAATAGTAAATTGGTTCAAGCTGACGATGAAATTGTTGAGGTACAAAAAGTAAGTACCCATGAATTGTTCCTTAGTGCTTTATAATTTAAACCCTATATAAGATTACGATACAATACAAAATTGCTTAAATTAATGCTAATTTAAACTTCTGAATTTTATTCATGCAAAACTATGTAGTTGTAATAAAATAACATCACGCCTTTTATCCCCGAAGGAGTAGGCAGAGGTGCACATCACGGCACTTAGTGTGCACTGCACAGTGTAACACCCACTTTTCACTATTTATTTTATGAGTCCTATGTAATAGGGGGTGAGCCTGTTGCCACATACTGGGCACAATTCGAGACTCCGTGCTGACAACTGAGAACTTTTAAAAACACGATTATACCAACTTTGCCCACCGCGGGAATCGAGCCCGAGACCCCTTGCCGGACAGTCGCGCTTGCGACCACTCGGCCAACGAGGCAGAAGTTGTAGTAATTTCCCGAAAAATGTGTGTACTGTAGATAGAGTTCTTAAAAACCTTATAACAAAAGTTCGTAAAGCCTAGAGCTATTTAAAGAGATTTACAGTCACTTTCACAACAACCCCGATACAAATAAGGTCCAAATACCCCCCTCTCCAGTTTCCCCAATCCCCGAACCCACCACAATCCTCAAATTCCCAATTCCCAAAAGGCCGGTAACGCACTTGTAACGCCTCTGGTGTTCCAGGTATCCATGGGCTACACCGATTGCTTACAATCAGGTGATCCGTCTGCTCGTTTACCGGCTTATACCATAAAAAAACCCGACATAGTGAACTTAACAGCTCATTACTCTAAATAGCTCGCCCCCTATTACATGGGACTCATAACATAAATAGTGAAAAGTGGGTGTTACTTCTGTGTGCACCTCTGCCTACCCCTTCGGGGATAAAAAGACGTGATGTTATGTTATGTACTCTAAATGAGGAGTCTCTACCCATTCCCAAGCAAGAATATCAATCAAGAAAGTAATATAAGTTTTATATAGTTGCGTCGCTCTTGTATATTTTAACAAAGTTCCCGTGAAATATTTCACGAGGCTACAAGACTACACATTGCGCGCTTCGTGTTAACTTAATTTTCCTAGAATTTTCTTTACAGCACACTTCATAGCAAGTACATAATTGAAATAACTTTTCATTCTTACCTACGGCTAGGAAGGAACGTGAGAAAATACCTCTCCATTTTAACATTTCACAAATTATAGTGTAAATTGGTAACATTTTCGATATTTTTGTTGGTATTATAAGCAAAGTTGCCTCGTTGGCCATGTGGTCGCAAGTGCGACTGCTGCTGGTGTCGCGAGCTCGATTCCCGGGTCGGGTAAAGTATTAGTAGGATTTTTTTTATTTTTAGTAGTAGCACGGAGTTACATGGGACTCATAACATAAATAGTGTAAAGTAGGTGTTAGATTGTATAGTGGCATTAAATGCCGTAATGTGCACCTCTGCCTACTTGTTCGGGGATAAATGACGTGATGTTATGTTATGTTATAAGAAAAGTAATAAAAACCCTTCTAAGACCGCTTAAAACTACTAGAAATGTGGTTAAAATTGTTTCTCTATCCATCTATTTTGGAAATCTAGTTTTACGAAAACGAGAACAAAAATATTGATTAAATACCTGATCGGTCTAGTAATTACAAATGCGATTGCCAAACGAAGATTTTCAATGTCAATTCAGATTAAACACTTTCGGTATGAAATCGAGTCTGATATATGGGAATAGGTTAACCTCTTAACAAATAGATAGCAGACCAAAGGTCATAAGTAACAGGACTTATAAAAGTGTTACATTATAAAGTGTCTACGTCTTCGGGGATTAAAGTTGTTGTTGGGACGTCATGTTGTTTTTTACGTAACCAGAAATATTATCGCAATACACATTGACTTGAAATATCACATGACGTCACGCCTCGGTACTCTTTATATGACGTAGGGCTCCCACTCCCTTACATAAATGCGCGTTATTTAAGTAGCTTCGGAATACATGAGTGAATTATTGACCTCATGTGCGTCACGGAAGGCAAATTGTAGTGCAGTCATTTTATGTTTACTTTCGTGTTACATACTAAATTAATTATTATATTTACGGCTTACTCACGTAACTGTTTGACAAGGAACTCGACTAGTTTCAAGCCATGGTAGAGCAGGATTCCTCGCCGCGGCAACTGTCGTGCTGCTACTGGCTACTCGAGTCTGATGCGGCCCAACACGCCCTCTGCCGTAATTCATGCGCACTTTCCTCCATCTGTCGTTCTAAACTACATTTAAAAAACCTTTAACCCAAGAGTGGTTCGTCGCTTCGCTTAATTAATATACTAAAACCTTTTCCTAAGCACACAAACACTTCTCTGGAAACCCCATCAAAATCAGTTTAGTCAATCGCGAGATAATAGTGAACAAAGATACCTATATAGATACACACACACATACATACATTTATTAAACCAATAAACATGCAAAGGATGATATTATATACACAAAAAAAACAATATAATCCACCAAAAGCAACATTAGTGATTTCTACTCTACAGAAACAACCAAGTTTCTTAACCCCAATTGAATACGATAGCTTTAGCCAAAACAATTTTCATTAACCCTGCTATTGTTCTAGGTTGAGAATGCATGGTTGAGATTGTACCCGCTTCCAAAACTCCCTGAGGAACCAGTTACATCTGTGATACTTCGATGTGTTCTCTGCCAACTTGGGTTATGCAGTATGCTTGTGATCTGGACCGCTATTTGGGTATTCGTTATTCAATCGTTTGAAGGTAATTATTTGTTCCTTTTTAATGTCATTAAATCACCAATGGACAACCATCAGCATCATCATTACCAACAGCCTATGAGTGCCCACTGGCGAGCAAAGCCTCTTCTCTATTTGTGTTACTACAAATTTTTGCCCCTCCCCCCTTCCTTGTCACAGCTAGTCACATTTGTGTGACGACACTAGTGTGACGTCACATTTTGCAGAATTACGTACACATGTATAAAAATCAGTTTTATTTCTATTTAAATTACTTAAAAAAATATGAATACCAAATCAAACCAAATAAAAAAACATTAATACAATTATATTTCGTGTTTTATAATAGTTTTTGAAATGTACAAAGTATGGATCCCTCCCTACCCCTTGTCACACAATGTCACACTTCTTCGACCCCCTCTCTACCCCTTAACGTGTGACGTAATTTATGGAAGGCCCCTAATTTGTATAACTATTTTACGATATCGGCCAATTGTCACAGAAGATTTTGTTTGATGTACAACTAATGCCTGTTAATTTTTAGGGCACAATATTATTTCGTTTTTTTTATAAAAAGCTATTAAGCATACAAATGGTAAATAATAAACAAAGTGCATGTTCCCTTCTCATTCTTCTTATGTCTTTAAAAAATGAAATACCTATTATAATGCAAGTTGTTTATTTTGCAGGTCCATATGAAATGAAGGTGTATATGGATTTTGAGAAAGAACAAAAATTCCTCGTCGTTAAACTCGCTACTGAACTTAGACAGGTATGTGCTAGCTCACTTTAAAAGGCATTGGTTACATAGTTTCCAGATTTTGAAGTTGCAAATATAATAATACTAGTTAAACGATAGTTTAAAAAATATTTTAATAATTAACATATCATACTTTGTTCCCAAATGCACTATTGTTCTAATGATAACTTTTCAAAGTCGATGACCATACAATTTTATATAAGCTAACCTGACAAACTTCGTACCGCCTAAAATATTCTTCTCGCCTTTTAAACCTTCCCTTTTTTTCAAGGGGGGAAAATCATCGAATGACTGCTCCCGCCTGGGTGAGGCGGAAGGGAGTGTCAGACTCTTACTGACTAAAAACCACCCCGTTCCTTCTCCTGCACGTCGAGCCGGAGCCCCGGTTACCCGTTAGGTTCTCCGCATCATCGGCATCGGCCCTATTGGGCCCCATCTGTGGTGGTCTGATGGCTCTTTGAGGCGCGCGCGGAACGCGACGCGCCGTACGCTCGGGTCTTTAAACCTTCCCTAGACTTTCACGAACATTTTCCAAGACCAAAATTAGCCAAATCGCGTCAACCGTTCTTGAGATTTAGCGAGACTAACGAACGGAAATTAATTTTATTTATATCGATATAAGTATAGATTTTCAACCTCAATAGTAGCAGTAAGTAAAAAACACAGAGTTTAGAATTGTACCTTTTTTATGGCATAAGCCGGTAAACGAGCAGACGGATCACCTGATGGTAAGCAATCGGTGTAGCCCATGGACACCTGGAACACCAAGGCGTTACAAGTGAGTTATCGGTCTATTAGGAATTGAGAATTTGAGTTTTGTGGAGGATTCGGGGGTTGGAGAGACTGGGAGGGGGTAATTGGGCCTCCGGTAACCTCATTCACACAACGCAAGCGTTGTTTCATGACGGTTTTTTGTGAGACCTAATTTTAGAAACCCAGTACTCAATAAACAGACTATTTTATTTGTGCCTAGACACAAACACGGTTATACTACTTAGTCCGATTGAAAAACAAATACTTAAAACCATGCAAAACAAACACACAAACCATCTTTATAGTGTTAGTAAGATAAAGTTTAAATTGTGAACTTTTCGAGTTCGTTCGCATACCGTCTCCATAAACTAACTTAATAGTTCTGCAAGCTATTTCAGCGCTGCTCTTTCAAGAAATTAAATAATCGCACAAGGTATTCGCCATCTTTGTATATAAAAGTTTATTGGTAAAAGGTTAAGTCTGAACAAACGGAGAATAATGAAATGGCAACAATTATTTGTTTTTATTGTCTTGACCTTAAATTTGAGGTCGATTAAAGCTTTTTCATTAATTATTATGAAACTCTTTTGACTAAAAAAAAGGACTGCTTTAAAAACCAACTACCAACCAACAACCAACAACCAAGACTACCTCATTGGCCGAGTGGTCACAAGTGCGACTGCCGGGCAAGGGGTCTCGGGTTTGAGAAAAGAAAAGTGGGTGTTACATTGTACAGCGGCATAATGTGCACCTCTGCCTTCCCCTTCGGGGATAAAAGGCGTAATGTTATGATGATGATTTAAAAACCAACTTGACCTTTCACGTTAACACGAGGTTTTAGAAAATCGATATTTAATAGTTTTGTCTGAAATTATCTACGATCTCACCGAGTCTCGAGTAGACCGTGACAGGAATTTTCGTATTATTCATAAGTAGTTTTGGATCCCACTACAAATAAATAAACAGTGAAATCTAGTTTACAACATTAGTAGGTACTAGGTAGTAGTGCATGAAGTTAGATGAAACAACTGCACATTGTAAAATAGAGGTATTAAATTGATGGTTTTTAGAATAGCATAGAATAGAATGTCATTTATTTCCAAATATATGGTACATTGAGGTTTTACATTAAATATTGTTTCACATACACTACCATTGCTGGTGTAGAAATATTATGTTAACCATGCTTTATAAATAAATTAAAAATTAAAAAAAAACTAGTAATCACAATAATTTCAAGTAAATTGAATCACACATTATAAGAATTTGGTTGGTACATGACAGTAAATAAAATGTTAAAATATTTCGTAGAATGTTTAAATGTCAATATGTAATGTAATATGTAATACAATGTCAATATGTCAAAACGTATATTGTCAAAATACTAAACTAAAATACTAAATACAATGTCAGTCAATGTAAAAAATTTAAATTCAATGTCACAATACTAAATACAATGTCATTATATTAGATATTATAATGTCGAAATATTAAATAATGTCAAAACTTGTGATTTTTCTGCGTTCAACTTATCGATGTGGATAACCGAAAGGCAACAAAATGTCTAGGAATTGCCGCTAGTTAATTTTATGCAACACCGACTTGCCTGAGATGAAGGTTGCATAAAACCAAGTTAAATAAATTGTAACATAATGTATGCATGTAATGTGCAGAGCATACTTTTATCTCTCTATAGAACACACACCTTTTACGCGAAGGCCGGGGTTATAATCGTAATTTGTACAAAATGTTCCTGCAGTTATTCTAGTTAAGAAGTTTAATTTCTTTTTTAAATATGACTAGTTTAAAAAAGAAATCAAATTAAAAATTAAATGACTACTGCCAATCTCAATATTATATTTAAGGAGTCCTACTATTTATATTCCCCTATACTTATACTATACTCTTTGTATTTATATTATTGATATTGTCTATGGATGGTTGACTGTCTATGACACTATTGTGTTATTTCTCATATAAGAACGTTTGTCACAATTTTGGCGGTTACATTTTTACAAACAAATCGTTTACAAGTTTTACCATTGAACACGATTTTCTTAAAAAGTCTGCCTCTAAATTACTCGGCGCACAACGCCATTATATTCATCGTGAAAACACTCAACGCTGATTATGTAGATCTAATAGAACCCTAAGGTATTCTAGGAAGTACTAGACTAGTCTTAGCTAAACTATTTAGACCCTTTTTTTGACCACAAGGTGGGAAGTCCTCAATAGTCCTTTAATCATCATCAGCAGCCGAAAGATTAGATTATTTTACTATACTACTATGTATGTCGTATTATGCTTCTGTCGAATATCATTGAGGATTCAAGCATTCAAAATTACCTGTCTACACTTCTATTTCGAATAATAAAACCGAGACCAAAATCATCTCAGTACTAAAAATGTGTTGACATATTTATTCCCATACCTTTTCCATTTGCGCGTCGCGTTCCGTGCGCGCCTCAAAGAGCCATCAGACCACCACGGATGGGGCCCAATAGAGCTGATGCCGATACGGAGCCGCGGAGAACTTAACGGATTACCGGGGCTCCAGCCCGAGGCGCAGCACTAGGAACGGAGTGGTTTTTAATCAGTAAGAGTCTGACACGCTCCCGCCTCACCCAGGCGGGAGAAGTAATTTGATGATTTTCCCCACTTAAAAAAAAACTTGCTAAATGATCTGTCTACATTTCTATTTCAAGTAATAAAACCGAGACCAAAATCGTCTCACTACTAAAAATGTGTTGACAAATTCATTCCCATACCCTTTCCATTACGACGCAAATGAAAGAAAATATGTAACCAGCCAATTTGTACCAGCTCGTTGGAAATGAAATTTGAATATTGTCACATACATATGGAAACATAGATATAGGTATGGCATATAGGAGCTTACAGCAGGACAAGTTACACTTGCTTGAAAAAGTTATTTTATGCTAATATCAACTTTATTGTCAAACTGATGGAGTTGATATTCCAATAATGTTGGTTTGAAAAATTGAGGTATTTTCATGTGCTTCGATTTCTTATATGAGTAGAGATACTTGCAGCGTCTCGAGGGTAGGACTGGCGTACATTCGGTGCTACTTGCGTCATACAATAGATACAATACTGTTGCCGAGTAATAAGTATCCGGTTCGATTCCTAAATCAGGCAAAATCGTTCGTCTTGTGGCTATTGAGACATCAAAATAATCACGTTTAATAAATTGTTTGGAACTCAAGTTCAAGTGTGGGAGAGCCATGCTTCGGCACGAATGGGCCGACTCGATCGGAGTGATACCACGGCCTCACAGAAAACCGACGTGAAACAATACTTGCGTTATGTTTCTTCGTGTAGGTGAGGTTACCGGAGACCCATTGCTTACCATCAGGTGATCCGTCTGTTCCTTTTACCAGCTTATGCCATAAAAAAAGTTCATGAGATACAACCGAAACAAACGGACTGTTTTAGTTACGAAATCCTGTTCTTACCTCGTTGGAACACAACACTAATGGTCGATATTACAAACTTCTCCTAAACTTTAAAGAACTCGTAAAGAACTAAGAGGCTAACTCGTGGTGGCCCGGAGGTTTAAGACGCCCGCTTCTCATGCATGAGAGTGCTTCGAAACCTACCAACGGCAAGTAACAATGTGACATTTTCCGAGTTATATGTACTTTCTAAGATTATTTAGACACCACTGACAAACCGTGAAGGAAAACATCGTAAGGAAACCTGGGCTTATAATTTCTAATTATAAGTTTGAAATCACCAACCCGCAATGAGCAAGCGTTGTGATTGGTGCTTAAACTTTCTCCGTGTGAGAAGAGGCTCAGCAGTGGGTATTTATAGGCTGTTGATGATGAGCTTTGGCCACAAACAATAAAGTATCTACAAACTTTCTTCATACACACGATTCCCAATTCGTAATTCACAAACAGAACATTACCCTAAACCAACAGTTTGTAAGCAAGCACATAAACATATAAACAGCATTTAATCACTTGTCCGTCTGTGTATTCGACGAATCAATATTATCTCGCATTGTACTAACAAGCACAACAAAATATACCAAACTCATAAAAAATTAAAGAAATTTCAACGTTAGACTAAAAGAGATAAGGTTGGAAATTCAATGGCTAGTGTTTATGCCCACGTGTGTAATAAAACAATAATCAAATTTCAACTTTAGAGCAAAGGAATAAGGTTGAATATTAAATGTGCAATGTGTAATAGTTTCAATTGATTGGTGCCGATATAGGGTTGATTCTGCA